AATGAGATCGAGCGAGTGAGATCGATAGTAAGACCGATGGTGAGATCGATAGTAAGATCGAAAGTGTGATCGATTGGTGCCCCGATGGTGCCCCGATGGTATCCCGTGGTGTCCCGTCGGTGTCCCGCGGGTGTCACGTCGGTGTCATGTGGTGTCCCGTGGCGAGATCGATGGTAAGTTCGATAGTGAAACCGATCGTGAGATCGATAGTGAGATTGGTAGTGAGAGCGAAAGTGAGGTCGATAGTGAGATCGAGCGAGTGAGATCGACAAGAAGATCGAGCGAGTGAGATCGACAAGGAGATCGATTGGTGTCCCGATGGTGTTCCGATGGTGTCCCGTGGTGTCTCATCGGTGTCCCGTCGGTGTCCCGCGGGTGTCCCGTCGGAGTCCCGTCGGTGTCCCGTCGGAGTCTCGTCGGTGTCCACCCGTGGGTGTCCGTGTCCACGCAGCATGGTCACCACGCGTCGTCGCCAACTCGAAGGCGCATCACCAGCATCGTCATCATCGCAATTGTCGTCAATTGGTTCTTTCTCCCCCAACCAACCTACTTATCACTAGAAAGGTGGTCGTATAGGTATGCAGTGTGCCGGAGGGGGGAGGAGGAGGAGGAGGAGGAGGAGGAGGAGGAGGAGGAGGAGGAGGAGGAGGAGGAGGAGGAGGAGGAGGAGGAGGAGGAGGAGGAGGAGGAGGAGGAGGGAGAGAGGAGGGCAGAACTTGCCGCCCTGGAGCCTCATGCCGCGGGTGCGGTGGTGCCGGGGGCGGCCCCTTGACGTCCTGGCGCGGGGAGAAGGGTAAGAAGGCGGCTGGAGGGCGACCCAGCGCCCTTGCCTTGGGATCCCCGGGCCCTCGCGGATCGATCTGATATCCCTGAAAGCTTCACGCCTTCTTTTTCGCCGATCGACTTGTGGGGATCCAGCTGGATAAACGAAGGTCAATGCAGATCAGAGCGAGGGGGCCGAACGGTCATTCATTGCCCCTGGGTGCGTGGCTAAAGTGGGGATCCGTGGTGAGGATTCTGCTTGTTGCGTTGTTGTTTGCTTGTTTGCTTGTTGTCGCCGTCTCCCCCGCGACCCACCCGCGACCCACCCCGCGACCCATCCCGCGACCCATCCCGCGACCCACCCCGCGACCCACTCCGCGACCCACCCGCGACCCACCCCGCGACACACCCGCGACCCACCCCGCGACCCACTCCGCGACCCACCCGCGACCCACCCCGCGACCCACCCGCGACCCACCCCGTGACTCACCCCGCGACCCACCCCGCGACCCATTCAATATACAAATTGCGAGCTTCGTAAACGAAGATTCTGCTTGTGTTGTTGCGTCGTCCCCCCCCGCGACCCGACCCGCGACCCACCCACGACCCACCCACCCGCGACCCACCGCGACCCACCCGCGACCCACCGCGACCACCCCCGACCCACCCCGCTACCCGCTCGCGACCCACCCGCGACCCACCCGCGACCCACCCGCGATCCACCCGCGACCCGGCCCGCGACCCACCCGCGACCCACCGTCGACCCACTCGCGACCCACCTGCGACCCAAGCCGCGACCCACCCACATTGTTTTGAAAAAAAAACCGGCTCCTGCGGCGGGCTCGCTGTATAGCTTGACAAACTCTGCGCCTGCGGCGGGCTTCTTCAGAGCCTCGCAGACTGCCGACGTCCCCGCCGCCCCCTCACTCTTACCCGCAACTGCGGGGTGCTACGTACATCGAAATACATTCTGACACATCTAGGTACATCCAAAGGTCTCTGAGGAAATTTTGAGCAAATCGTGACCGCTTCAGCGCGAGTCGAGGGACGGCAGAAGTCGTTACGCCCGTAACGACCAGATATGCTCGCGTCGTTGAGGCCCCAAGAGGCCCCCAAAACAGCCCCGCAGAGGCCTCAAACTGCCTCCAGGAGGCCCCCAGAGGCCTCGACGAGAGCCTAACGACCATTCAAGAGGCCTCAGACCCACAGCCCAGGCACAGAGGCGTCATGGGCCGAAGGCCGTTCGATCACGGCAGACACTTTTTTTGCCGTTCTCGACCTACACTTTGTTTGCCGTTTTCGGCCTCTGGGGGCCCTCGCCGGGCCTCGTTCGGGGGCCCCCACAATCGGTGTGGTGACCACACCGCGCGGTGAGTCAGTACGGATTCGGGGTCAACGCACAACTTTGGGACTCAGGTCGTTCTTGGAAGACGTCTCGGGCGACCGGGGCCTCCAAGGTCCCAACGCCGTGCTGTGACGGACCGTGCGGTGAGGTCTCTCGGGGTTCTGAGGTCACCGCGCGGTCTGTCACCACACGGCTTTGGGGCCCCCGCGACCCGAGGCTGTCAATAACACTACTCAGGAAGACGCGCCGATCCAGGGAAATGGGTCGAGACCTCTGAAGGTCCACGTTGTGACAGAAACCATGACGTCGGGGGTCTGGGACCTGGGGTCGGCTACACGCAAGAGTGACCCTCGGCAAGAGTCACCCTTGGTGCGCGGCGTCACGGGGGACGCGGGGTGGCCAAACCTGGGCGCGCAAGCCGCTGCCACCGCCCCACGCTCAGCGATCGGGGCCCATCCCCGAGTGCCTGCCTGAACCTTTTTCCGCACGCGGCTCTGCAATTACGTTCCACTTCACACTCTTGCTACATAGGACTATCGCACAGACCTCCAGAAACTCGTGTGAATCAAGTTTGAAATCCTGTGCGTCTCCGTATGGTCGTCTAGGGAGCTGTGACTTCTGGAAAGCGCGGCCGGCTCATCGTCGTGCTTGGCCTCTCGAGGCCGGCCCCTCGGGCCCGGGGCCCGGAGGGGTGCGGGGGCCTCGCGGGCGGCGAGCGTGGCCAGGCCCGCGCCGTCGCGGTCCGTGCCCCGGGGCGCGGTGCCCTGGATTGCGCGGGTGCGCGGCTGCGTTCCGCGCTGGGACGCGAAAACGCGCCCCCTGCCCGTGGGGTCGCTGCTCGGGGGCCCGGCCCGCGAGGCCGTGGATGTTGGTTCTCCCGCGCTCCGCAGGGAAGCGGGGGAGATCTGGGCTGGGGGAGACGAGGGGTCTGCTTGGAGCCGTCTTCGAGGGTTCCGGCGGGGTCTGGGCAAAAGGGCGCCCTTTCATGGCTGGCCTGGGGGGGGGGTCTAAGATTAGGTCGGGCATGCCCTCCTACAGGCGGATTTTGGACGAGGAATAAAACATACCCAAACAGTAACCAACACATGTTCAAACATAGTAAAACACGTCGTCCCCATACTATCGTTTGGCTACCCTTGAATATTCCCCCTGTATAAAGGGACAGGCCCGACCGAAGCCTGAAGCTGCTCGTCTGGGAGGGCTGTGACACCCTCCCTGCCATGGACGAAATCTGCAGTCCACGAGACAGCCCACGCGGCGAAGACGTCGGAGCGCCGCCTGTCCGGGCTGGGGCCCCCCGGGTCCCTCGCGGACCGGCAGGCACCGGGAGCCACGCGCACAGGCCCAGACGCCCAGCGGCTCGACTTCTTCAAGACGGGACCTGGCCCACCAGAGCTCTCAACCCCTTCCAAGGAAGTACTGGTAATACATATATATATACACACATAGAACACTAGCAAGGATAACGATAATAGTGCGATGAAGAAGAAAACGCGACTTGGGGCCTCCAGAGCTCTCTACCCCTTTCCCCGGGGGATAATCTTGTCACTTGCTTCTCTCACCCTGGGCAGCTGCTTGGTGGCTAGCAGGGCCCGGAACCAACTCCTGGAAGGTCCCAGACGGCAAAAAGTGGACCGCCTCGATTCTGCCTGGGGAAATGGGGTCGGGAGCTCTGCGCGCTCTTTGCTCTCGCGATGTGCCCAAGTCTTCGGCGTCGTGACTTTGCCACAGCGTAGATCTCTCGATGCCTCGAACCCGTATCCCCGGGCCCGTTTCTCATCCCGAACAATTTTTTGATGGCCCTAGGGCCCAGGAAGGGCTCCCAGGGGGTGAAAACGGCTTATCCTGAGATCCATCGTCGCGAATCGCAGGAACATCTCGATAAATCACGGCTGGGGCCTAACCCCATCCTTCTGCGGCATCGCTCGAGCCGCATCGATCTGCGCAGGGCCCCAGGGGCTTGAATCCGGGCGAGAACCTCCAGAGTGAACGAAAATGCGACGCCAGGAGATCTTCCCATAGATCCGATGTTTTTAATTTTTTATTTGTTTTCCTCTCTCTATCTCTCTCCACATATGGGCCCCCTGGAAGTCCCGAAACTTTCCATGGAACTGGCTTCTCATCCAGAGTCGTTTATTGACGGTCCCAGGGCCTGCCGAGGGCCCCTGGAGGCCGAAACCGGGGAAAAGCCTCCGCCTTGACTTTCCAATGCGTTGGATCTCTGGGGATCTCCAGGCACAGACCTCCGCCGTGATCCTTTCACGACGCTGGGTCGTCTCTGGGCTCCCGGGCCCGAGCCGTCGGGGCTCCTCCTCCTCCTCTTCCTCCTCCTCCGCCGCCTCCGTGTCAAGGGAGAAGCCCCGGACCGTGTGGCAAGGGCGCTCTCAAGCGAATTCGTTGAGGTCTGCATCCTCACTACAGGTTTGAGGATGCCGTTGCTGCTGGTGCTGGCGCCATTCGTCGCGCCTCGGCCAAGCCTGTGCCGCTGCAGGCGGCACAAGCCGACCCTGCCTCCTCTCTGGCAGGGACGCGCCTCGTCTCGGCACCAGGGATGGCGGCGCTTGCTGCCCGCATGAGGCAGCGGGAGGAGGCCGCCGCAGCAGCTAGAATGGCCCAAAATGTTGGTCAGTTTTGTTCTGCCCGAGTGGCCCCCGAAGACTAAATCCTCCTCCTTCTTCTCCAACTCCTCCTCCTCCTCCTCTTTCGCTGCCTCCTCCTCCTCCTCCGCCTGCTTCTGCTCCTCCTGCTCCTCCTGCTCCTTCTGCTCCTCCTGCTCCACCTCCTCCTCCTCCTCCTCCTCCTCCTATTCCTACTCCTCATCCTCCTCCTCCACCTCCTCCTCCTCCTCTCCTCTCCTCCCCCCCTTCCCTCTCCCCCTCACCCCGTGACCCTTTCACGACGCTGGGTCGTCTCTGGGCTCCCAGAAAGCGGGCATCGCCACGTGCGGGCGGCAGCCTGGCTGGGGCAGCCCAGCCGCGGCCTCGGCGGCCGTAGTCCGCCGCCGCGCCTGGCGCGCGCGGGTCCCTCCCGCCGCCCCTCCTCCTGGGTCCTCCCCTGAGGAGGTGGTGGTCGTGGAGGAGGGAGCAGGAGGAGCAGAGGAGGAGAAGGAGGAGGAGAAGGAGGAGGAGGAGGAGGTCGGTGTGGTGGAGGAGGAGGTGGAGGATGAAAGCTATAATCCGAGGACTCAAGTTGGCGCAACGTCAAAAAGGTGGAGGACGAGAAGGTCGGTGTGGTAGAGTAGGTCGGTTTGGTGGAGGAGGAGGAGGCGTGGATAGTGGAGGTCGATGTCGTGGAGGAGGAAGAGGAGGAAGAGCTGGAGGATGAATAGGGATGATGAGGAAGAGGAGTGGAGGGACGGTGACGATGACGATGACGCTGAACATGACCATGATGGTGATGCGGATGATACAAACGACAAGGGTACTAACACAATAACAATACTACTAATACTAATGATGATGCTGATGCTGATGAACATGATGATTATAATGCTGGTGATGCTGATACGGGTGATGACGACGCTGCTGATGATGCTGATACTGATGATGCTGACTATGATGATTTTGATGATGGTGACGATGACGACGATGCATATATTGATGATGACGCAGATGATGCTGACGACGATTATGATGTTGATGGTGTGGCTGATGATGATTATGCTGATGCCGATGATGATGCTAATGATGATGCTAACGCTGATGATGATGACGATGCTGATGCTGGTGATGATGATGATGATGAGGCTGCGGATGGTGGTGGTGGTGATGATGATGATGATGCTGGTGCTGATGATGTTGATGACGACGATCATGCTGATGTTGACGACGACGATGATGATAACGATGCAGATGAAGATGAAGCTGCAGATTATGCTGATGTTGATGATGCTGTTTCTGATTATGATTATGATGATGCTGCTCATGATGATGCTGATGATGTGGAGGAGGAGGAGAAGGAGGACGATACTGCTGCTGCTGCTGCTGATGCTTATGATTGTGATGATACTGAGGATGCTGCGCTGATGGTGATGCTGATGCTGCTGATGATGCTGCTGATGATGATGGTAAGGATGACGCCGATTAATATGTCGTTGATGATGCCATTGGTGATGGTGATGTCAACGACTACTACGACGGCGACGTCAATGATGACGATGATGCTGATGATGATGAGGATGATGATGCTGATGATGATGCTGATGATGATGTTGATGACGCTGATGCTGCTGCTGATGATGATTATCATGCTGATGATGATGCACATGATGATGATGACGCTGCTGCTGATGATGAGAATATGTCCCATCAGTTGGGAATTTATGGGAGCAGACGGGGGAAACATGAGGGAGAAAAGGAGGAGGACTTGATGGTGTGATGATGATGAATGGTGAGGAGGAGGAGGTAACTAAATAAAGGCGCTTAGGGGCATATCCTTATCCAAGGGAACAGGAGGATGAGAAGGAGGAAGCAGCGCAGGAGGAGGAGATGGAGGAGGAGGAGGAGGAGGAGGAGGAGGAGGAGGAGGAGGAGGAGGAGGAGGAGGAGGAGGAGGAGGAGGAGGAGGAGGAGGAGGAGGAGGAGAGGAGGCCTGTGCTGAGCTGAAGGGGCTGTGGTCGCCGTCCTGGTCAAAACTCGTGGGCAAGCGCCGGTCAAGTGCTAGGCCCTGGTCGAAGCCGGCCGGCAGGGATATCCTCCTGGCCAGCATGGTCGCGGCTCCCTGCGGGGGGGGGATCCTCCCTCCCAGGATCTCCTGGCGTCGAGTGGAAATCGCAACAGGACGTTTTTGACCATTCTCGGTCTCTGGGGGGTCCTTGCCGGGGCCTTGGGGCGCCAGAGAGCCACTCACGTCCTGGGGAAGAGGTCGAGAGGCCCGATGTTTGGACGTCCGAAATGGGTACGGGAAGAATGGGTAAGATGCCCAACAACACATGTTGTCCAAAGCCAAAAGAGGCCGCTCTTAGGCAGGCGGCCTTCTGTCTGAAGTTGTCCACGTCCGCGGCGACACCGACAGCGAGCCCTGCTCAAAATTATCAGGAAGTGCTGCCGATCTTCGCACCCAGTTCTTGTGTACTGTCGGGCCGCTGAAAGAAGGAACGCTAAATAAGGAACGAAGCCCCTTCTTGGCCCTGTAAGCGCCTCCGTGCCCCAGGAGGGCAACAGGAACAGCACTGGAGGAACCTAAGGAACATCGAGCCCCTTCCGAACACAAACTGTTCCTAATTTCAGCGTCTTGACTGTACCCGTGCCGATCATCCTAACGGTGGGCACGTGCTTTCAAACATCGCGGCGCCAGAAGTCTGGGTCCGCCTGCGCCTCCTCCACCCTCGTCCGCCTCCTGCTCCTGCTCATTCTCCATCATGGCCTCAACTCCTGCTCCCCTCCTCCTTTCCTCCTCCTCCTCCTGCTCCTCCTCCTCCTCCTCTTCCTCCTCCTCCTCCTCCTGCTCCTCCTCCTCCTCCTCCTCCTCCTCCTCCTCCTCCTCTCTCTTCCTCCGTCTCCTCCTCCTCCTCCTCTTCCTCTTCGTCGTCGTCGTCCTCCTCCTCATCCTCCTCTTCCTTCTCCTCCTTTCTCGTCCGCCTCTTCCTCCTCCTCCTCCTCCTCCTCCTCTTCCTCCTCCTCCTCCTCCTCCCTCTTCCGCCTCTTCTTCCTCCTCCCCCTCCCCCTCCATCAATGCCTTCACTGGCTGGCTGAGGTGGGCACAATTCCTTCTGCTCCCCACTCCTCGTCTTCGTTGTGCCTTCGTCCTCCTTCACCTCCTCACTCACCCCCCCCCTCCTCCTCCTTCTCCTCCTCCTCCTCCTCCTCCTTTTCCTCGTCCTTGTCCTCGTCCTCGTCCTCGTCCTCGTCCTCGTCCTCGTCCTCTTCCTCGTCGTCGTCGTCGTCGTCGTCCTCCTCCTACTCCTCCTCCTCCTCCTGCTCCTCCTCCTCCTCCTCCTCCTCCTCCTCCTCCTCCTCCTCCTCCTCCTCCTCCTCCTCCCCCCTCACTCTGGAGCCGGGCGGCGGTTGTACGGGGTGGAGGTGTGGATGGGGGGTGGGGAGGGGGGGGAGGGGAGGAGAGAAGGGAAGAGAACGAGGGGGGGAAGAGAACAACAAGACACATGAGGACGAAGAGGACGAGGAGGAATCACAGGAGGACAGGACCAACGGGGGAGGGGCAAAGTGGAGGTGAGCTACGGGGAGTGGGACAATGAGGATGATGATTAGGAGGAAACGGCGGAAATGGAGGAGGAAGAGTAGGCCGAGGACGAGGAGAGGAGGAAGGACGGGGAGGTCGAGGACGAGGACAGGAGAGGAGGACGAGGAGGGACCAGGGCGACGGACAGGAGGAAAGCGAGGACGGGGGGTGCGGCGGGGTGGGGGTGGGGGGGAAAGCAGGACAGGGAGGGATGGGGGGGGGGAGCAAGTGGAGACACGACGAATTGCCTCCGGTGCCCCTCCCGCCGCGCAGCGTGCGCGGAGGCTGCCCGCCGCTGCCCGTGCGCTCGCTGGCGCGGGGGGGGGGGGGGGCGACTGGAGCCACAATGGCTGCGGAGACAACGCCGCGAGGCTGCGAACAGCAAGGGTCGCATCATGCAAGATAACGACCCCAAAAAGGGGGGGGGAACGATTCACAACATAGATTTCGAATCTTCTGCTTCCGCTTCACTCCGGCTCGTCTGGCCCGTCGACAGTCCAGGCGCGAGCCCGATGAAGGCAAGTGGGGACGATTACACAAATATTTTCCTGGCCGCCACCGGGCGCCGCCGCGTGAACACGACCCCAGTAATTTCTTCTTCATCATCATCACCACCATCATCAGCATCATCATCATCATCACCATCACCATCACCATCACCATCACCATCATCATCATCATCATCATCATCATCATCATCATCATCATCATCATCATCATCATCATCATCATCATCATCATCATCATCATCATCATCATCATCACCATCACCATCACCATCACCATCACCATCACCATCATAATCATACTCATCATCATCATCATCATCATCATCATCATCATCATCATCGTCATCATCATCATCATCATCATCATCATCATCCTGCACTGCGCGTGTCTATAGTTATTGATGTAGATATGACATACATGATATAGCTGTGTACGCATACACGCACGCTGCACATAGGCATATATGCACTATGCAGTTGTGCAAACAATTCCATGTGCACCAACATGCGCATGTGTGTGTGTGCATGCGTGCCATCGGTGCCTGTATATGTCAGTGCTGTCGCCTTCTCGGTCTTCAGAGCCCCCACGACTGCCCACGAGACATCCAACCTCGCCCCAATATGGCCCACAAGGCGCTCCAGAAGGCCCCAATACAATCCCAAGGCGACTCAAGAGGGCTCCCGGAGGGTTTCCGACCAACCGACGTGCCCGAGAAACGACCCAACGAGACCGCCAGATCGTCACAAAGGACCCGCAAGATGGCCCAGAGGGACACGAGACGGCCCAAGAGGGCCCACAGAAGATCCAACAAGGCCCTGGACGGCTTAACAGCGGCCAACAGACCCACAGGACCGTCTTAAATACGAGGGGGACGTCTGAGGAGAAGCCGCACCGTGTCGAACGTTCGGAAAGCTAGAGGTAAGTGATATATTTATATGTATGCATGTGTATATATATATGTGTGTACATCGATGAATGCAAGAACTATCAGCACGCACTCACACACACACACTTCCATACATACATCTGTTCTCTAAACCGTGCATGCACTTAGGGTTTCTTACGTGGTGCTGAGGATCTGGGCCTGTCTGTCGGTCTGGCGGCTGTGTTGCCGCCGTCGTCGCCCCCTGGCCGCCCCGTCGCCGCCCGTCGGCTGGGCCCGCCTGTCGGTCTGGCCCTTACGTTGCCGCCCTCGCCGCCCTCGCCGCCGCCCCGTCGCCGCGCGTCGTCTGGGCCTGCCTGTCGGTCTGGCCTCTGTGTTGCCGCCGTCGCCGCCCCGTCGCCGCCCGTCGTCCGTGCCTGCCTGTCGGTCTGGCGGCTATGCTGCCGCCGTCGCCGCCCCGTCGCCGCCCCCGCCGCCACGTTACGCCTCGTAGATTCTCCGGTCTGAAAAAAAAGGTATGAGGATCTACCCCCCCGCACCCGGACTCAACGGACCCCCCCGTCGTATTAGAATTTGCACATGACTCTGCCCCATCGTCCATCCTAAACATGAGATCGTATCACTTCAGCTGCACCGGTATCCCCACCTCTCATCCTCTGCAACGAATGGTGCGCGCACACTCGTTATCAACAGTCGTCCGTTTTCAATCATCCTCTGGAGCACATGCGACGAAGTGCGCACTCGCGCTTCGCCCGAGCGCCTGCCGAAATCCTTCAACAACTTTCAACTTTCGTGTGGGCTTCGCAATCGAATGCCCCAAAAACGTATAAACACACAGGATTTCGCAGCACCCGTTTGCAACAAGCTTGCGCTCGCGCCCCTGCGAATTTCTTGCTTTGAATGTTCACATGTTGTTACCAAACGGACTTCTCGCGCGCGCATGTCGGAGTCGCTCGAACGCCCTTGCGCGCGTACTGTCGCAAGAACCCCTTGCAACATACATGACGAGATGCGCACGCGCGCGTCGTCGCGCGCGCATGCCGAAATCCTGCAAATACCCGGGACTTCGCAAAGATTTCAAAATCGGGCGTCCCGGAAACCAAATAAAACACATGGTTTTGCAACGCCAGTTTCCAAAAATGCCTGCGCCCGCGCTCCTGCGAATTCTTGAAACAACCAATTTCCAACATTTTCACTGACCTCGGCTAAACGGGCCCCTCGCGCCGCACGTCGAAATCATTCAGGCGCCCTTGCGCGCGTGCTGGGGTGGCACGACCCGTGTCCATGCGGCCACTCTCGCGCGTCGGCCGCGCGCGCGTCAAACTCCCTCCAAAATTTTCATCACCGACGCGAGGACGCCGTCATCGTCGTCAGCGTGATCAACATCGGCGTCGTCACTGGCCTTGCCGCTGTCGTTGTCGCTATTGTCACCAACATCGCTACCATCATCATCGCGTCCACCGTTGTCGACGTTGCCATGGTACCGCGCACGCCCCAATCGCCGACTCACACTGAAGTGCCCGCTAGGAAGTGCACTTCGGTCAAGGCCACCGCGGCCGCGTCGGTCGCGCCAAACTATCTGGTCGCTGCGCGCCCGAGCATGCGCGGGCCAGCGACCGCAGAGTTGCACCAGCCACCTTTGAACACCGCGGGTGTGCAGGTGGGATGATTGCGCGAACAGTGGAATGGGCAACTCACTGCGAACAGAACCTCGTTGCACCGCACAGGTTCTCATTTCTCAAAGCAGAATAGACTCTACCCCCCGGGATTATCGGCCTCCCTTTTCGTATTGCAATTTACGTATGATTCTGCCCCATCGTCCATCTTAAATATGAATTCGTACTGTCCCGACCCAACCGGTACCGGCACCCCCGTCCTCCTCTGCAAGAATATACTATGCTCGCACACCTGTTTATCAACAGCCATCAGTTTGCAAGAATCCCTTTTCGAAAGCCGAGACGAAGTGCACACGCGCGGGTCGTCGCGCGCGCATGCCGAAATCGTTCAAAAACCGAGGGTTTCGACAAGGAGTGTCCCACAAACATAAAAACAACACATGGTTTTGCACCACGGACTTTCAAAACAAGCTTACCAAACGGGCTTCGCGCGAGCATGTCGAAATCGTTCGAACGCCCTTGCGCGCGTGCGG